AACACTGTTCACGTTGTAGCAAAAACGAAATATCTGCTCCAGAGAGCGGAATAGGTTAAGACAAGCTTAGGCAAGAGAAGTGCACAAAAAACGCGGCAACAGAACCCAGCCGGGTGGATGGATGCTGCCAAACAAATATACACGAAACTCTAACAGATTAACAAAATGAAAGGAAATATCACAGCACTGGTTGCTTTTGAATCTCTCCTGTTTACGCTGCTGCTGCTGCTGCCGCCGCAGCTATATAGAAACACAAACTCGCCGAACGAAACTCCAGGCCCGGCCATGAGGGAAGTGGGGTTGAGCAGAGAGTGGCTGGAGTCAGGTATTTCGACGCGTAGTATCCCCACTTGCTGTCATGCCCGCCACTGGCGATGTGATGGGCTCGTCGGGATTCTTGTTCAGGTAACCGGCCAGCTTCTCCGGCCTGCCAGGCGATGAGGCGGTGGATCCGGAACCGGGCCTCTCAGGTGGGCATCTACTACTGCCACCGCTACCGAGGCCACTTGTGTTGCAGTGAGGCTGAAAGATGAGGGGGTTTCGGAGGTAGGTGTCGGTGCCCTGGCCAGCAGAAGCTGCGGCCGCGGCTAAACGGGGCGGAAAGGTGTCGCAGGTGAGGCTGCTGGCCGAGGGCGGAGAGGCGGTCAGGATTGTGGAGGCGACGGAGCCGTAGTTTTTTCCCGGACGCCAGCAGGTCGCCGCGGCGGCGGCAGCGGCCGAGCCGCAAGTTAGGTCCCTAAAGAGTTCGCTTTCCGTCTTGCTGCCAGGGAATACACTGGTTTGGGATAGGAGTTCGGAGACCGGAGGACTGACAACATCCTCAGCTTCCTGGCGATTATACTGCTGTTGAAAGAAGACATGAAAAAGATGTAATGTTGGCTCTACCACCGTCCCTGCAAAGGCATATATCTCACCAGTGCTGTATACACATTGTCAGTTGAGAGAAAACTGCACTTCTCAGGTCGCTTATGAATGTGAAGAACTCCAGGAGCATGTATGCACCTGTCTTAACTTGCAAAATAATATCGAGCTTACGAATAAAGCAGTGTTTAGTGATGGTGAATCCTTACCCACGCTGTGGCTTCTGTGGGAACCTTCGTCCATTTGTAGATCAGCACCAACACCAGACAACGTACGTGTGATGTCCGCAGTGCTCAGAAGGTCTCGGAAAAAGCTTACTCTCTTGCGACTTTTAAAGCCAGATCGATCAGAAGACGCCTCAGCCCCTCTTCCAAACAACCTAATTTTGCTATTTTTTTGTAATTTGGTAACCACGCCGGACAAACCGTATTATGACAGAAGAGGGGTCTATAAGCACTCCCCATTGGCGCAATTCGCTTTTTATGGCGGTTAGCGTCCCTTTACTTTGTGCCTGCTGACAGTTCGTTACAGTACGCTAATATTGAGTCACAGGGGATCATTCCCCTAGGTATGTACTTCACCCTTTGAGCTTCGACTGCTTTACTCATAATGTATGTAAGTAGTGTCGATATTTTGACTTTTGGTGCACGCAGTGAGGCTGCTCCTACTTACGATAACGGAACGATCCAAAAAACCACCAGGCTTGCGAATATGGGACATTCCGTGAGGCATCGAGGGACAGCAGTCTATCAGAAGCATCTCTAAAGACACGTTAGAGGTATATTATAAAGATTTGCAAAATTCAGTGAAATTAGTGAGTCTGGTTATGGGAACAATTTGATCTGGGGGGGGGGGCTACCAAAGAATGATGCATTTTAAGTTCTATTTGGACGCGAGAATGTGGATCTCCCCGTACAGGGGTACGTATTCCCATGCCCCGACTTTAACCCTAGCCTTAAACCTCCTTGGAATTGCGGGCAAGGTCACCTGTAATAAGGGGGGTCCATACTTCCGTACCTAATCCGTCTTTCCTTATGGAAAGAGTCCAAACGCCACGTGAAGGCCGGGAGCCTTCGGTTTTTAGAGAAAGTTCCGACGACCAAATTCCAAAAGGGGCTTTGGCCAATCCTGAATGATTAACATCAGAAAAAAGGCAGGGGGATGAGATTCTTCGGCAAAAGAGGCACTGGTATTCCTAATTTCAGTCCACTGGCTAAGTACTGCTATGGTGGAAGGACATTCGAGAATGATTAAAGCTTCCAAAGGCCCGCTGATAAAGAAAAGGAGACTGAAAGGACTGATTGTTAGTTAATTTCCGCCGTCAGTGAGCCGCTAGGTAGGGATCGTGAGTGGCTGTTTCAGTCCAGTGTCATAGCACTGGACTGCGGACCACTATCTACTGCGACCCGGAGTATCTCACGCGACTTAGGGGATGACGTTCGGCTTGCTGATCCAAAGTTTATTGGTAACGTTTTGCCTTCGTGATTAGATCTGAAACCATCGAGGGCAGCGGCATAAGGATGAACATCCAACATTGGCAATGCACTACAGAAAACCTAGAAGAAACGTCTGTGATGGCAACCGCTCACTCGCACACTGTCAAAGTCAAACCGGTTGTTTTTTTTTCCAGACTGTGCATAGCGATGTGTGATCGCGCATCCATTCGCTTTACGGCTAAAGTGGGCTTATGCGCGCACATTCTTAGTCGTTTGTCGGTCATGTCGCAGTAGGTGGCTTGACATTTTCGCCTGTATCCATATATGTCATCGAGCCGACCGGACAACTGGTTCATTGCTCAGTGGATTCAACGACCAAAATATGCCAGGTTCGAATACCAGGCGCTCCAAACCTGGAGTTAGATGTGGCTGGCTGATGACCGCTAATAAACCAGGAGTGGCCATTTCAGTCTTCCTTCTTTTCGTCTTTAATCTAATCTACACATATATGTGCATTTAATGATATCAGGACAAGTAAGGACTCAGGAAACCTGCCTTCAGATGGAGCCGATTGCATTGGTCTGAGAGGTCCGAGACCACAAGGTTAGTGGTCTCACCTCCGGACTGACCGACCCTGTAAATGACCCCGTGAGCCCTCGATCTGTTCTGTCCGGTCACCAGCGGCCAGGAGGCAGAGGAGGAAGCAGAGGAGATTGCGCCTATGCCAGCAATGTTGGATGAGGAGGATAAGGGAGGGGAAAAATTGGCGGACGGATGCTGGATGTGCTGGAGGCTGACCCGTTCGCAGGGTGTCTGCATACTCTGCATCGGAGTGAATTCGTCCAGTCTTTTAATCTGTGTGGTAAAAAGTGCGACTACTGAGGTTGAACGGCTTGATTTTCGTTCAGCGCTGTATTTTAAAATTGCTAGAAAAAGACGTAAATGAACACCAGCCGGACTGCCCCATCTCCTTCCTCAGAAGTCGGTGTTCAGGTTTTCGGGAAGCTAAGACCCCACAAACACACAGTACTGGGCCGACTGCGAGATCCAAGTTATACCGTCAGTTGGCAACCTTCCAAGCCACGGCTTTTAGCGCACTGTGATATTTTTAAGCGCGTGTTGTGTGCTTGTGTGGATCGGCCGACTGGTGGTTTAAGAATCAGGCTGCAATGCCAATCCCCTCTCCGTGGGATCCGAGCGAGGGGTGACAGCAGAATTAGGGGTGGTTGGAATTCGTCTCATTTGTGATAATTTTCGGATCAGCATCAACGCCCCATATGTGTGTATGTGTGTGTGCCCTCCAAACGGGCTAGCGCCCTCCAAACGAGCCACATGTTAGATGCGTTGGACCAACACGGGGGCCACATCGGATTCTGGCAGGCGTTATCTGTGCGCAATAACAAATGCCAACATCTTCGGGGTGCGCTGGCAGAACCTGTTGTCGGCAGTCGTCGCACAACTGGTCCACTGCCATCACCCCGCTGTTTTGTGGTCAAAATCCTTGTCGTTGTTGTGTGGACCAGGAGGTGCGGAGTGGAGCGCTAAGGTGAGGATCCGTCCGGGCCATTCACCTGCGGCCTCCCTCGTCTCCGGTCTTCATGACTCTGTCTTGACACCGGGCTCAGGCGGGGGAGGAAGAGAGAATGTAGGTAGATGCAGCGCAAGTCTACTGGCACTATGAACCCCTGCGCAAGTCACCGTCCCTGCTCCCAGCGCTGCTGCTGCTGCTGTGGGGCATACGGAGGACATCGTCGAAATCGACGGTCGAACTATCGTGTCGTGTGTGTGTGTGGAGTGGCCGGCTGGTGGACTGTTGCTCAAGCTTAACGACCCCCTCTCTGCATGGTCCCTTTGGTGGTCTTAAGCGTGGGAGTTCCGAACTGAGTACGTCCTTTGTGTGAAAAGCGGGTGTGTTGTGCAAGAGGCAAGGTCGTGGTTGGCACATGCCGACGAGCTTTCTAGTTCTGTCGGCCATTCAACAACTCAACCGAGAAGCCGGGCTATCAGCGGTTTCATTGATTTGAAGGACTTTAGACGGCTAGGCCGTTGGGTCGCCTTCCCTACTGCATGCATTTGAATCCTCCTTTTTATTTTAATGCCCGTAAAAATATCGAGGGCGACCATTGATCTTTCTACATTGTCCATCTGGGGTAGAGTATTTAAGACGTTTCGACAAGAAGAGTTAGGTTGACAACACTGTCTTGACTGCGTGATGGAGTACAGATGTGGAGGCCACGCAGGTGGCGGCGGCCTAACTGAGACCGGAATTTTGCAATGACTTTTCAAATTGAAAATACTAAACCTAATTGGCGTGGAAAATAATCCCACATCAGCTCGAGAGTATCGTTCCGGCCGACCGTCTTGATATAACTCGGAAATAAATCATTACATACCCAGGGTGGTTTGGAATTGCTTATGTAGCCCCTCAAACAGGACACCGGAATAGCGAAGCTCCGCCCACGTAATAAGGGTGATCTTGCGCCAAGTTCACGGATGGGTAAATATTCCCGTGTCTTTCTCCTAACACTCATCCTAGCCGTGACCCTTATACCAAGCCTAACCTTAATTTCTCTGAAATTTGGCGCAAAGCCACCTGTATTGCGAGCTGTTCCTGTTCCCTTTGTCCTGCCCGGGGGCCACATAAGCAATCCCTTCTCTAGTGTGTATTGTTTCATCTATTTTCCATGGCTAGTCTTATCTACCGAGGAGTTGCCTCACGGCTAACAACCCATGGGATGCCGAATAATCCATCGATAATGTAGCGAGTAAGTCCCAACTTCGGTGGGGAGGGGGGGGGGGGATTACTGGCGTCACGAGTTGAAGGTGGCCCGCAAATCGCGCTCTTCGCAAAATTTACCTTTTTAAATCCTTTGGCAATATCAAGCAGTAATCTTTACCCCTTTTCCGTGCAAATCGGGAGTTGACAGCTGTGCGTAGGTTTCGTCTAGAGACAGACCCTCACTGCTCCTAAATGAGGCAAAATATATACATGTGCCCCACAACACCGAGTTACCTAACGACTTAGCTAGCTAACAAACGATCATAGATGCTACATGCGCAAACAGAATCCTGTTAGTCGCGCACCAACTTTAGAAAGAGAGAGCGCGCACGACACAAAGTGGTGTTTCGTTCACTTCGATGCAACCCTCGCCGCGGTTCTTCCGTTTCTGGCAACCGATTCTGAGCTCGCAGAAGCCACTTGACCGGCTTGACAGGAGGTTCTGGCTCCGGTAGCAGTGAGACGGGCGCGGCAGTGACAAGTCTCGCACCTGCGCACATGGCCCGTGGGCGCTGGGAGGAGGGGGGGGGGGGACAGGGCGCTATACATGCAACCGCAAGTTGGAACATTCTTCATCACCGTCTTCCTCTCTCGCACACCGCTTTACAGAGGCGTAGAGCATATGCACACGCGCACGGCCGGCCAGTTGTTATCTCAGAGGCAGGCGAAACCTCATTTTTAGAAAATTTACCGTTACGACGCCTGCTTACAGCTCGGGGAGGGGGGAGCGAGAGGGGCGGTAGACCGTTGTGGTGAGCGAAAGTTTTAGAAATTTGTCAACTCTGTTTACGGCAGATAAAAGCTCTGTTCTCGCGGGTGTGTGTGTGTGTGTGCAGCTGAGTGACTTTAAAAACGCTCCTCTTCTTCCTCCTCCTCCTCCTCCTCCTCCTCCTCCTCCTCCTCCTTCTGCGTGCAGCGACTGCTAAAGAAGACGTGGCCTGAGGACTCGCTTACATTTCAGAAGGGGCTTCTTCACTGTGCGGCAACATTCTGTCGGTGGAAATAAATGCGGTGCAGTGTGGACTACTCAGTTTCAACACATAGATTTACGGCGATTGTTGGGTTTGCTTCATTTTACAAGTTGTTGGCCTCATTCTGGAGTTGTTAAAGAAACTGTCTTTTATTTTCGCGGTGGTTACTGAATATACGGTAGATTCCGGTCTATCTGGCTTATTCCATCTTATATTGCGTTTAATTGGATTAAAGCTAAGAAGGTGGCCTACATTACGGACGAAGAAGTGGACAGTCTACTGGCTGCAAGTGGCGTGGTATAGGCCACACCCGCCTCTAAGTCGCGGCAGTCAGTCAGTGATGAGAGCTCATGAGTGTCCGTTGATAAAGACAGACCAGGGGAGGGGAAGGAGGGCAGAAGACTAGATCAAAGATTCTAACGCTGATCGAAAAAAATGGTGTCAATTCAAGAGCTGAACCTAGCTGGCAAAGGTGCCATGACGGACGAAAGTTAAACAGATGGTAGTTAGTCATCGTCAGTTGGTGGGAAGGGCTGGGGGGAGGCCAAAATCTATGACCACCCTTGTAGGATACAAGGGGAAAACCAACAGTTGGAAAACTGAACAATGGTAGGGGGGGGCTCATTTCTGGCCATTTCTGGCTAATTAGGCGTTGTCAACCACTCATACTCAACCCCGAAGTTTGGAACACCTGGGACCCGATCCCGCGACCTGTTGGTTAGAAGTCCAACGCCCCCAAATCACTGACGCATGGCTCGTTGTCCTATCGGTTGAGATCAGTGGGTCCCCTAGCATGCCTCGTGTGCTTTGTGGTAGATACTCCAGTTAGGAAATTGTTGCTTTTTAATTTCCTCTGAAATTAACTGCTAATATGGAGTGGATTAGTTTAAACTAAGGTCTATGGGCGCAGACCGTAATTTGATGTAAGAATACTTAGGCACGCAGGTCCACACCGCGCCAGCCGCCCGCGCCTAATCCTGCTTGCAGCTTTTTTTGAAAATTTAAGGGTCACAAGTTACCCTACTAGCAGCTCTTTAGTGGGTCTCCCAGCATTCTCGCGTGCTTTTTGGTAGATACTTCAGTTTAGAAATTATTTTTTTAAAATTTCCTCAGAAATTAACTGCTGCTGCTATGGCGTCTTGTAACCCCAAGATACACTACTAGCTGCCTGTCGTCACTTAATGAATATTACGCGGTTATCCCGCTGTGGTTGATGGACTTTGGCTCAGATATTCATGCATCGAATTTCGGTCTGCGCCTATAGGCCTTTGTATATGCTGGTCTACTTCAAGTTCACAGTTAACTTCTGAAGAAATTAAAAAGCAACTAAAACAGGACTATTATGCTGTAATTTGTGGTCAAGGCAATTCGTGAAGAGCTTAAACACACCGACCTACACTGCGTGACCGATCTCATGAAAAGTTGGCCGAAATTCATAAATGCGTTTTCGATTAGGAAAGATTACCTAAGCGGGGTTGCAATACTGCTTAGAATGCGACATGATCCTATAACATTTCGGACTCGCCAGGATATCGGCTAATGAATGCATTTTTTTCGACCTCCTGCAGAAACTACACTCAGTAAAAAACGACTACTACTTCGAGAATCTGAAAACTGTTTCAAAACCTAAATATACACTTTCTTAGGATATAAAATGCAAAGAAGATGTGTTTTTCTACCAAAAATATAAGGGAAAGCATATTTTTGTGCATGTTTCCCAAAAAATATATTTGAATTGATAAAACCACCGAAAATCAATGTGAAAAATGCATGCTACTTAAGTGGTCGTTTTGGCTGAGTGTAGTTTCTTCAGGAGGCCGAAAAGAAGTGCATTCAATTGCCGATATCCTGGCGAGTCCGAAATACTATAGGATCATGTCGCATTCGAATCAGTATTACAACCCCACCTAGATAATCCTTCCTAGTAGAAAACGCATTTCAGCATTTCGGCCAACAATTCATGAGATAGGTCCCATGCTCTATGTAATTGGTTACGCAAACGAACAACGTATATCAATGGTAGATGGACGCTCAACAACCAGGCTGTAGGACGTGCTCGTGTCGCGTTTCCCTGAAAATCAGTCTAGAGCGCCCACAGGCAGTTGCACAGCGGCTGGTAATATACGTAGAAAGAGAAACATCGACGAAGGCAAGAGACCGAGATGCAAGTTTCTGGCATATTAGCCGTCGTCAGTCAGCTATATTCAAATCAGGGTTTTGGATAAAACTGAGTGACGACGGCTAATATGACAAAAATAGCCATTCCAAACTCCCCTAACTTGTTCGATACCCTTTAAGTCATATATACTTAATTGCCCATTCGACTGCATTCGAGGTCTCTAGAATTCAATTGCAAAATGTTCCAGGTTTTAACCTGAAATCCAAACCTGGGGTTGGCTACGACTGGCTGACGACGACTAATAAGCCAGAAATTGCCACTCCAGTCTTCCTTGCCTTTTTCGGTAATAACGTTCTGCCTATATCCTGCGCCGCTGTGCGGCTGCTGGTTGGGCCCGAGAGAGAGCCCATAAGGCATAACGGAACGAGTGAGTTCCCTAAGAACGACGATCGGTGAGCCTCCCTCTACCATTGTATATTCCCGATCGAAACGGACAGGTCAACGGGCCCGTGGTCCAGTAATTACAGGCGTTGGACTTCCAACTAACAGGTTGCGAGTTGGAGCTCCAGGTGTTTTAGGTATGACTGGCATACGACGGTTAATAAGCCAAAAATAGTCATCCCAGTCTCCTTTGTCTGTTGGGGTAGTGGTTGATGCAGCAGTATTGATGACTTCGCATTCTTCGGGCCCGGCTTGTGGTGTGGCCACGTGCGTGTTCATCGTAGGTTCTACCTTGTTTGGGTTCACGTCTGGTCTTGCCTCCTACCTTACCCTGCAACTGTATCAAGTGTAGGAAGCAGTTCAAGTTCACCTGAAGTCCGGTGACAGCACATCTAACAGCCTGCCATATACGATGTACATTCATGGCATCTCTGAGGCAGTTTCCCGCCTCCTAAGGCCGCTGAGGGTCGGCATTGCCGATCGATCGGAGTTAACCATTCGACATCCTGTCGTGAAGCCTAAGACCAGCCTGTCAAGAAGTGAAACAACAAACGTCAGCCATCGTATGCAGTGGACCGCCCGAGAAGTTAACCACATCGAAGAGATTGGCAAACGATAGCAGACCCATATTAATGGACACATCTGGGCAATGAGGAGAATGGACCCATTGTCATTGGTGGCGTAACACTGTTCAGACTCTGGGCACACGTTCGCCCTCCAAAACTCCGAAGTACTGGGTCGAGGAAAGGACCGCGTAGACGGAAGCAATTGAGGCCTGGCACATGAAAACTACCTTAATCAACCGTTGTGTCGCTCTTTCGACAGCCTGCCCAACCCTTCGGAAGCAGTGGACACGCGGCAAGACCAGACGTGAACCCGAACAAGGTAGAACCTAAGACGAACACGCACGTGGCCACGCAACAATCGGGCCCGAAGAAGGTGCAGTCATCAATACTGCTGCATCAACCACTACCCCAACAGACGGGGAGAAATGCGGTCAGGGGACGCAAACAAGACTTGCGTTCCAAGACGGCAGCCAAGGCCAATTCGGATGACGGTGATGATGGTCAACGCTCAAACGCCTCCTCCCTCCCCACCAAAGACATTCAGATCACCCTCCTTTCCCCTGCAGGGTGCATTGTTGAAATAAACCCGTATAACTAATACCGTGTTAACCTGGCTGTCGTCCCAATAAATACTGTGAGGCGCGGCACGATACTAACCTTAGACCTTATTTTGTGACCTTATTTTTTTAAAGAGTGCTAGCATTTCTCATCCTGATAAAATATGGCACTCGTCTTCCAAAGCCAGCTAACGAGCTTGTCAAGATCCTTTGTTATTCTAATCCAACCTTTCCAGCTCAAAGCGAAAACAGTTGTACACCTAGTGAGACCTACTTGAGATTTTATAGGAATGACTGTTTTTGAGTAGCTGTGAATAAAATCGTCCAAACCAGAAAAACGGATTACAAAAAGTTGAGGGTTAATGCATTCGCCGGATATTCTGTTGTTGCTGTCGAACTCTTTTTATTTGTGGCCAGTGACGGAATGTCCTGCTTGCTATCGTCAGAAAATAATGCATTTAATTGTTCTACTTTATTAGTACAAGTAGGTCTTGTTATTATACTTGACTAATGATGTTTGGTAAAATTTGAAGTTCGTTTTTAGAGGTCCTTCCTCATATGTATTTGTACGTCTAAGATAGCTTGTTAAAAGTAAGCCAGCAACTTGCTTTCAACAAGAACTGTCATCTGTGATTAAATAATAATCTTACCGTTGTCCTTCACCTAAGGTCTGGCCCATATTGATTTCGTGGTAAAAGTTAAATTTTTGCATTGAAGGGGGTCTCGAGCACCCCAAAGTTGATGCCACATTGTATTTGTTCATACATATTATTTAGTCCGAGTATGGCAGAACGTTTCTTATAAAAATAACGAACTTGGTTTATTATTACTTAGGTTAGCTTACAGCAGGTGGGCTAACTCCTGAAAAGTCAACCGAAATTTCGAAATGCGTTCTCGTTTCGAAAAGATTAATTAAGTAGGACCGTATAAATAATCATCATGCAACATATTTCTATAATGGTCAAGTTACCTCAGGGTGTCGGCTTTCGAATACTCTTATTCCCGATTGCATGCAAGAACAATACTCTGCAAAAAACGATTACGTAAGTAGAAGGCAATTTTTTCATTGGTCTTCGATGCCTTTAAAAATTTAATTATATTTCATGGAAAACATGCATAACAATATTCATTCTTTCACTTTTTCGGTAGGAAATCACGTCTTCTTCCGATTTTATACTCGAAAGAAAAGTATAATAAGGTTTTAAAAAACTGTGCTAATTCCCGAATAATTTTTAACCCGACCTGCTGTTACATTTGCATTCAGGATTTCCAAAACTACAAGTCGAATATCTTCCGTCTACGGAAAACCATGCATTTCTCTACGGAATTAAGAGGAGACCATATAAGGTTCATAAGATTAAGCCGTGGATTTCAGCAATATTATTAACTTTACAAGCCACATCCGTAAATGCTGATACATGACGTTTTATGAACGACCATTTCAGGGTATTAAAAATCTCAATTAGAAACATTTTTATAACCAAATTATACGCTCCTTTAGAGTAAGAAATCGGAAGGAGTCGTAAGTTTCTACCGAATGAGTAAAAGAATGGATATTTTCCTGCATCTTGGCCATGAACTTTAATTTAATTTCAAAGGCATCAAAAATCAATGAGAAAATTGCATGCTGCTTAAGTAGCCATTTTTCGCAGAGTTTATTCTTGCATGTAGTCGGAAATAAAATCATTCGAAATCTGACACCCTGAGATAACTGGATCAATGTAGAAGTATGCTGGACGATGATTAGTTTTACAACCCTACTTAATTAATCTGTGCGAAACGAGAACGCATTTCGAAATTTCGATTGACATTTCGTGAGTCAGTTCATCTACTGTACAGAGCGGATTAGCAGGCACGGTAGGGTATGGGGATATGAATCCCCGTTTCACATGCGGTCTTGCGTTAGATTCCGCGGGGGTACGTTTAAGAGGGTTGATATTACGGTTAGCGTTACGAGGCCTAGAGTTAAGGTTACGATTAGGACACGAAAATACATGCCTCCTAAAATTTAGCGCAAGTTCACTAGCAGTGCGGGAAGTTTATATTCTCAAGCCATTTCCCACTACATGACCTGCTGCCTTCTGGCTGAACATGTTTTCATTCACGTGTTTGTGTAACCTTCAGAAATTAGCTATTAAGTACTCTGAATGCTTTTCATTGACTTCCAATGCTTGCATAACTTTAGTCGCAGTTCATAGAAAGTGGACAAATCACTGGTTCACTATGCTCGTTTTTAAGAAATTATGTTTTCTGCAGATTTATAATTTTATGAAGGGAGGGTTTAAAATTGCTAAAGTTTTTAGATTCTTAAAATGTTCAGGGCTCCCGCAAAATTATTCTCCCAGCTTAACGTCTTAAAATTCACCGATACAACTGGATAGTGTGTAGTATCATGCACGCCTATAAATGCATAAGTTTATGTATCGCATGGAGTACTTATTAAAATTGAGGAATGCGACTTCGACCACGACAAGTTGCTGGGGTAGAATTTTGATTTTGAGCAGCATAATTTCAAAATGTTCAATTCACGAAAGGGTGACGGTTTTTGAATGCATGTCTTATTGGCCGCTGACAGAAATCACACTTAAAGTAAACACTTAATTAACACGAGTTTTTATCTAGATTTTCGATATCCTAAGAAATCTAGACATATTTCATGGAAAACATGCACAAGAACATAATTGTTCACTCATTTTATAGGAAATTAAATCTTCGAATTGAAAACTCTAAGGAAGAGTTTTTTCAACCTTAAAAAGTTTTCAATTTCTAAATGATTTTGAGCTCTATTGTCCATCTTACTTGCATTTAGGGTTCCTGAACTGTGAGTCGAAAGCTTTCGAGTGAAGGTAAATCATGCATTCCGGTAGGCTGTTAAGGTGGTTCTGTGTAGGGCACGTACAATGTTTTGGTGGATACTGACCACAGGTGCTCCATAAAGAAAATTAATAAACTGGCATATCCGATGTTGTGTGGACAGGCATTTCTCAATCTGAAGGAGTCTTCTAATTTCAAACCATTTAACCTCCTCCTGCCATCTCTTGGAGCAGATAATTTAAAAAAGACATAATTTATGGCACAGAGTGCACAAGGAGGGATGCTGTTTGTTTGTTTTCCAAAAAATCCTTTTAGATCCATAAAAGAACTGAAGATCAGTTGGAAAAATCATACTGCTCAGCACCCACTTTTGGCCGAGAGTGATTTTGACCGGTCACCGGAATTCGGAAGCCAGCATTCTCTTGTTACTGAACTATCTTGAGATTATGCTATTTAACACTCAACGTTACAACTCTACCTAAATAGTCCTTTATATGGGAAATCATATTTTAGTGTTTCGGTTAAAGCTGTATGAATCTGGTGTACATTCATTCTGCGAAGTGTGGATAAATTAATGAGGCGCCAAAAATAAAAATTGACAGAGCAGAATTATCTGAATACCAAAAGCGAGCACATTTCAGCGTAGGAAGTGGTCCTAGTTGGTATTCCAAGTTACTGAGCTGAGTCTAAATTGGCTGCAGCAATTGAATGCGCAGGCGTATGTTTGCGTTACTATCACATGTCTGCTTATTTTATATGAGTAGGCATTTTGTATTGAGGCTGCGTTTCTGGTGGGACGCAAGAAAGTAAAGTTATGGCTACAGTTAAGGTAGGAGTTGGGTTAAAAATTAGATTTGGGAAAAGGGTTAAGGTTGCGTTCGCTTGCCGTATACCGTCCTACTTAATCCAACCTTTTTGAATTAACAATCATGGATTACCTTTTTTCCTCCAGCTTACACGGCTTAACTCGCATCGTTCAAACTGCGAGGTTTGTTTCAGCACCTCATTGAAGAAACAGAATACACATGCTGCAGAAATGCGAGTTTTCTCAATGACTTCCGTGGATCTCCTTAATTGTCGCATTCATCTACCCTACTTATAAAACTAATACCAACATCCCTCATATATTACAGAAATAATCTAGTTTTATTTTCCCCGTGGGCTCACATACTCAATCCTCGCCACAACAATCTATGCTGATTTTCTTAAGATCCTCGATCTTATTTGTTCAAAAAGTAATTATTCTTGCAAATTTCTTAATAATCATTTGACAGTCAGCATTGCTAAACGACTCCTAGGCAAAATATCCAATTTTTAACGTCAACTACATTATAAGAAGACGATATATACGCAGGAACCTACACGCTCCTTTCTCTCTGCCGTTTCATTAGTTTGTTAAGTGACCAAACACGGAAAATTGTGATTTCAAGTGAGAAAACTCCCAACATCGCTACCGAGAAAGGAAGGAAATGTTCGCTCAAGCATCGATCTCGACGGTGGTTCTGATTTCCCAGTGCCTTTAGGTTCAGTTCAGTTTTATCGGGGAAAAGGTAGGCGAACGCCTTTAAGACCTATCGCGTTATACGGTTACGCAGTCCGGACGCCAAAATCTGTCTGAAATTTAGTTCGCACAAGACTTTACTCTTATTGATTACTCTGCAGTTCCGTGTTTACGATTAAATTGAATAAGCATACGATCACCCTCCCTCACTGAATTTCAATGAAGCAAAAGTCGCCAGACTTAGAAGTCCACATGTGCGCCATTTTGGCAGATTAGAAGTCTGCCGCCTTCGCCGTTCTCTACTATCTACGGAGCTCTCAGTGGCTATCCCTACCAATGAATGGGAAACCGGTCATATAATACAGTCTGTAATCGTAAAGTGCATTTAGACTTGCCTGTTGGTCCTGATTTCGCCAAATTCTACCGTTTTCGATTGGGTTGCCGAAATTCCCAAAGACTGATTTGGCGTACCAGGAAGTCTCATTGGCTGGTTTTGTTTTCATTACCATCTTGCATTTGGCTGTTTGTCTCGCTGCCGCTGCCGCTGCCGCCGCCGCCGCCGGGGTGCTGTCATGTTGGTGGTGGTTGGTTTGGTAGGAGGCGGTGTCCGCGTTGGGGGTTTGGGGCTGCCCCTTAGTACCCACTAGTCTGCTGCTGCTGCAAGTGAAGTCCTGCTGGGCGTTTAAACGCCGGCCGAGTGATTGTGCGTACTCCGTCTCCCCGAGGTCAGCGCACTCGAGTGCGCTCACATCTGCCTGTCCTTCATCGCCCTTTAGTAATTGGGCGAGGTAGGCACTTCTAAAGTCCCGACAGTAAGTCCCACTACTGCAACTGCCGTAAATGGAGGTGTCTCCAGGCGTGGGCTGCTGACCAACGGTCCGAGGTGACGGAGAAGGCGATAGATCCCGGTTATCAGACACAAAATTGCCGACAGTAGGCGAAAGACGAATGCCGTCTGCACGCTCCTCCTGTCGTGGGGCCACCGGTGGACGCTGGTAGACCGCTGATGAGGGAACAGATGATTGGCCTCCGCAGTAGCCGAAGTTTGCAATTGGTCCCGCCGCGGCAGCGGACTCCTTCCAGCTGGCTGACTGTGAGACCGGGTTAGTGGCGGTGGAATTTGTGGACTGGAGCAGCGGTTGAAACGTCTGTCCCAGCTGACGAGTGGCCTTTTCGTTTGGGTGACCAATGGGAATGGGGTCACAGCGCGGCGGTGGTGGTGCCTGCGGCTGTAGCCCACCGCCGCCGGTGCCCCCGGCCGTGGCAGCGAGGTAGATGGCAGTCTGTGGGGATATAACCTCGATGCTATGGCTGCCGGTTCCGCCGGGAATTACCACAGCTGAGTGAGCATATAGCAGACTGCCTGGGGGAATGATACTGCCACCGGCGAGCATATTGCCGCCCAGGTGATTGGCGAGTCTCGGGTCGGCGGCAAATATGGTGCCGCTGGTTGTTTGAGCAGCTAGTGGAACACAGTTTGCTGTGAGGTTATTGTGGGGGAGGGAGAAGCTTGGAGCGGAATTGTTAATCGACAGGCCGCCGCCGCCCCCGCCATTACCAGCGCAGCAGAGACCGTTTGGAAGAGTTGTAGCGGCTGTTGTCGGTTGCGGAAGTATAATCGCAGGAGGACAGATGGTCTGCTGTAAAAGAAGACAGGTTTCTATTACTCACAGCACCATTTACGTGTACGCTAATTTGTGGTTTTGCAATAAGAATAAAGATGCAGTAATAAGCCGTCCTTCCATTGCCTCGAGGTTCGATTTTTTTCGATCTCTAAAGTGTCCCCTAATTTTAGACTGTTCTATTCGGCAAAAGGATCAAAGGTTCTAGCTCTGCGTGCCATCGCATCTAACGCAAACAATGGTTATTCTTTGGGTCCAAGCACATTTAGGCAAAAGTGCTTAATGATAGGTAACTCGTGAAATTTGTCCACATATATCTGTAGACCACGCCCTTAATGAACATTTCTATCATATTAACGGAGCAGCTGTGACCCGGCTACATAATCAACCGGCCTATAATTGTAGTGCTTGATTTTTCAGAAGTTCTGAATGGTATTTTCGTCAAGCTTTAGTGTTATTTTGCAACTTTCAAAAAGCAAATGACAATCCTTTCTTCATTCGTAAATACGAGAAACCAAATACATAACAGATGGACTGAAGGAAAATTCAGGCAACTTGGATAAATAAGTTCTCCTAGGTGGACCGCCTACCGATGACCCCGAAGCATCAGCTAGACGACCCTGTCAGCCAATCACGAATTACTTACCGTGCCTGCTGCCAAAATGGGGAATTCCTGACCTCTGATCGGGAGAAGGGAACACGGCAGAGCTGCGTTGTTCAGGATTAGGGGAGGATTCATATCTAAAAAGAACACTTGAGAAATCGAGCCCGATTACCTTGTCGAGGAATAACATGCTGAAAAACCCAATTACTTCAATAGGTAAGTCATACCTGTTTACGGACGGCATAACCAATGTTTATTTTGCGATCTTTGAATGTCAATGATTCAGCCTAGATTTCGGTCGGGCAAACATTTACTAGCAATTTACCTCATTCTTAATGATCATCTCGGCCGTTTCTTGATTTTCAAAAGTTACGAAACCATAATTTCCCTTGGACTGGCCAGATCGGTCATATATCACTTTCACATCCTTGATGGGTCCAAAGCTGCTGAAGAAGCTCCTCAAATCCTCCTCAGTTGTCTACGAAATAACGGCTGAGTAAAAGGCAACTGAGCTACAAACACACGTACTGTAGAAGTAATCCCACCAACGAATATTCTGTTTGGTATAAGGGTCCCAAATTTTGGCAGGACGATGTTGGTGGGGGCCGGATTGGACGAAGTTAGAGTTATTGGATTCATCGGCTGCAACGCTTTTGACCACCTGACAGAACGAACGCTTTATGTTTGTGATAGAGGATGGTTCCAGACAGCTCCAGCTTCCCACAGCATACTAATTTATGGCCGAAACGACGTCTCCTCACAGCTGCTTACCCACACTGCAACCTGAGGCGCAGTTTTTTGAATTTTCCCATATCGATAGCATCAGCTGAGCGAGCCACGTGCCAAATACACGTGTAGCCCAGACGTCTGTCTAGACAGTGAGTTTCCAGACGAGGCAGGATGGACTGCCTTGCAGAATGAACTGCGCTTGGGCATATGAGCAGCAGAGCTTTTTTGATCACTTCTTTTTGTCTTCTCAAAATTTGCATCACGCCTGTTGACTACTGCAGAAAATTAAATGTGCCTGTTTGGAGCTGCGTATACGAGAAACGTAGTTGGTTATCGGAGTAATTGAAGCAGCAGATGGAGCATCTAAAGCTATCAGAAGACTACGGGCAAAATGTGAGAGAGGCTTCTTATGGCCTTCTGATCAAGCCCCACATCAAACTTTTCCCCAAACACTAGGGAACGACAAACATTTGGAATCTGAGGGCCTATAAATGGCAGGAGGAATTAGGTGGATTACTGCGCGAACTGGTCGTTTCAGTAGGGAAGATGGCGACTAACCGTACATTACAGTTTATGCAACATAATGAGCCCACTAGCAAGTATCGGCGGACATCCAAGTAATAAGAAAGTATGGAAGGTCTATAAACCAAAAGACGTATTGGGCAGCATCTCTTTGCTCAAAATGCATCTGTTCATCATTAGTTAATTGCCATTAAGTCGGAGGCAATTATGAGACCTAGATTAGATATCCAAGTGTGCCTATCGCGTTAGGCAGACAAGGTACAAAAGGGTAGAATATATGCTAACCCAGTCTCTGGTGAACAGAACTAATATCCCCGAACTATTGGCAATAGTCAAGCTAGTCACTAAGTAGAGGCATGAGTATGACTAGGCTTCAATTTATGAAGAATCAACCAAGAAGCCAGCCCTAACTACTAAGAAATCGCTGGACGGGTTTGTTTAGCTGATAGGATTGACCGTTGAGAGGAAATGTTCATGGCACCTTAATCGCGCACACACACGTATGGTAGCTCAAAAGTTCAGAACCCGAATGCACCACTGAGAAATATAACGCCATTCACCGGACCATCTACTGAAAACATTGTCCAGCAACATTTCGAGTGTCTAAAACCCCCTGTAGAGTTGGTTCCTCTGTGGCATCTTCCCGGGTTCTTCGATGTGAAGGCTTCAGTCATGAGTAATGCATTCTTGGTGAACTATTATTAGCTATTAGATGCCTAAATTAGCAGTTACGGGATGAGTCAGCTGACATTCTAAGGCAGAACGCGACTGAACTGTTTGGCTTTGATAATCTAAACCCCTGCACTTTTGAGAGTTGGTTTTGTCAGCCGGTCTAGAGGACGCCAATGGGATCGTAAAGATCAGGATTCTATCGAATTAGTCCTAAAAAAGCTAGAAAAGAACGTATTTCAACGATCTGAAGCCATACCTTGGGTTCGCGTCATGGTGATAACTTCCTCGTTTCAAAGTGAGACAAGATCAACACCTCGGTTAGATGTTGATTTTTTTCATCAAAGCAGATTGCACACGGATCGGTCTCAGCTAACTGTAGAAAAGACGCCACTACTGCAAATGTCATCAACTATTGCAGCAACCATCCAGCCATTAACAAAACAGTTTGCGTCGGGTATCTACTTCGTCACACCTTTGGCCCCACAGAAACAAATATCAGTTGGGAAAGGAATTGAACTTATTGCTGAATGAAAAATAATCGGTTTGTACCGAGCTTTAAGAGAAATTTCCAGAGGCTTCCGAATCCGAAAACAACAGGTAGGCAAGTATTCGATGATCCGCACAAAAGGATCTTCGGGTAACGGCAACGATCGGGTGGGGGACCCTAAACACGCACACGACCAGCCAAATGTGCCTGTCTTACGGGAATGGTGATAATATGGGTTTACGGGTGGGACCTATGTATGCATAGAGGAATGGCAAAATAAGTATTGATAATTGGTAAATACGTTTCTCGGGTGGGAAGGTTTTATTGCATTGACGTATAGTAACAATTTTTCCCGAAATTATGAAATGTTAGCATGCACATTAGGCCAAAGTTTGCGTCATCTCAGTGGAAAACGGTGCAATAGATCACACATCTGACACTTAGAGGACAACAAGCGTAATGTTATGCAATGAGGTCGCATGTTCAGGTCAGCCAACTACAGCCTGTCGTATTGAGCGTAAATTGTGCGTATGTCTGGCGACGCGGAGCTCCACCGCCCGTTTGAATTCGCTCGCTGGAAGGCAGTCAGAACTTCGATTGTGATGTGCCGCCCATGTAATCAACGAACTTCTCACTAAATATTTAAGGGAGTTATTCAGACACTGAACTCCATGTAGACGGTACTAATTATCATATCGACCCCGATACGCATTAAGTGGGCGTACGGACGCATCTCATTGGTGCCCCCACCTCTACAATCGTGAGTCATAACGACGCCGCTGTTGCTATGGTCACATTGCCCACGAGGCCATTTCTGGAATTGAGAGCCATGATCCTCCTCCTACATGGCCGCATTCGCAGGGTAGGATACGCGATTGCAGCCTATTCACTTACCTGTCGTGCGTTAGACACATCCACTCACTATGCCTTAGCTCGGGCTATTAACAACAGAAAATAGCTAATAAACCGTCGGCTTTCCTAACAGCTTACTTCCAGAATTTATAAACCCCCACATTTACGATACGCTATCACTTCCATTGAGTACTTTGCACTGTCGTACAAATGACAGTTACGGGTCCGTAGTTCGGAAGTGCGTCGTGGCGATCGAACAGGTAATTTCCACATACAAATGCACATTAAGGAACCAACAACAGATATTCACGTATGGGTCTTGTCCTTCGAATTTAGAATTCCAGGTCCAGTATGCTGCGTTTGACTAGCGAATTACAAACTTTCAGCCAAGGGTGGAACAGGGCCAACATCAATGCCCAGACATGGCAGAAGTTTTGTACATAAGAATCTGAACGGAAAACAAATGTTTTGTCTCAATTCTGAATGGTAGGCCGTAGGCAGATAAAAGGTCGGATCCTATTTCGTAGTCGCACCTGCGGTGGACAAGTCCCAGTCGCCTGTCATACGGGGCCGGTGTTAATAGAGGGCTTAACACTAACCCCTCACCCTAACCCTAAACCCCTAAACCTAAACCCCAACCCTAACCCTAACTCTAACCCCTAACACTAACTCCTAACCATAAACCTAACCCCCAACACTAATTCATGACCGCTAACCCTAATCCTTAACACTAACCCCAACTCCTCACCCCTAACAGGTGCTGTTACGAAATAAGATCTTACCGGACAAAATTCTTGTGGTCGTTTCTTGGCTAGAAAAATAGGTATGTCTCCGAGAGTGTTGATGAAATCTTCGGATTAATAACGGGGTGAGTAATTAAAACTAGCAACCTAACAAGTACTGCCAGAAAGGACAGGCCTTGGCTGGACCGCCTACCATACCTAAGACTACAAACACTCCGGCGGAGCTGAACCTTGATGGCTAGCTAGTCCTACAACCGAAATCGTCAAGGCCATTGGGTATTCCTCGTGGTCACACGTTCTTGGCTTGCGCCATCCAGCACGCGAATCGGCAGTAGCCTGGCCTCACATGCCGCAGAGGAAAAATCGATAAGAGTCCGACAAACCACGTGGTGAGTGACAGCTGTCAGTGTTGGCTAATCGCTGGGTCATGAGGCATTCGAGAAACAATGAGCCAGCAGACGAAGCTTGTCAGGGAAAGTCGTACTTGTGGCTGTTGGGGTGTTAAACATTCAGATGGCGACGCATGGCAGAGTGTTGAGGAGACCGATTCAACACCCTCAAGCAGGCTACAGCATCTTCTGAAAACAATGGCGGCTTTTCCGTATATCGATGAAGTGACCCCTATGGGAGACGCCGAAGGAAACGAAAAAAGTAAGAGCTCTCGTCAATCTTTAAAATACTTTTGCTCTCAACATACAGCATACTTTCATAACTCATTGAGTCTCGGTATATTTCCGGTGTTAGTTTTCTTTTATGTCTCTTCCTCTTTGGCTCTGTTCTAACCCAAGAAAAATACTCACCACTATGTTGCTTGAGAGAAGAAATTTCTCTCGGTGACCTTACAACTTTTATTAGATTAAAGCCTTACACTTCCTCACTGGGGTTGATGGACGTGTGGTCAGATCCAAGCCGTTAAACTACACTATCTATCTAGTGAAATTTTAACCGAAATTCCAAAATATTTTTTTGACTAGAAAGGATTACTTAGGTCGGTTTCTAATATTAATTATCATGTTACATAACACAGGATACCGAATTTTGAATGAACTTCTTTCCCACCACCAGAAAAAACCACATTCGGTAAAAATGACTACTAAGTATCGCATTCTTTTGAGCATCGTTCCAAGGCCGGCCTAACTTGTCTCGCCGGAGATGCGACACTTAATGCTCCTTGGTGGCCCATGTGGGGCAGACTTAGCATTCAGAGGCATACGCTGGATTATGAGGAGTGGCGTTTCAATATCTCTCCCCAAGAACCAGTTGGCACACCGGGTTTTACGGTCGATTGGTGATATGAATGGGCGCGATGACTGGGACAGTTTGAGCCTCGGTCTAACGAGTGCTAAGTGGGTGGGCTAACTCATGAAATGTCAACGGAAATTCCGAAATGCGTTTTTGTTTCGAGAAGATTAATTAATTAGGGTTGTAAAACTAATCATCATGTAACACAATTTTTTGATAATTCAGTAACCTCAGGATGCCAGCATTCGAATGAACTTCTTTTCGGCTGCATGCAAAAACCATACCCTGTTAGAAATGACTACTTATGCAACATGTATTTTTCTCATTGATTTTCGATGCCCCAAAAATTAAACTATATTTCATGGAAAACATGCATAAAAATATCCATTCTCTTGTTCATTCGGTAGAAAATTAGGTCTTTTTCTAACTGTATACTCGGAAAAAAGGTATAATTCGGTTTTCAAAAATATTTTTTTCCAAATAATGTTGAACCTGACCAAACCTTACAAGTGCATTCGAGGTTTCCAAACTACAAGCCATATGTCTTCCGCGTACGAAAAACCATACATGTCTCTACGGCATTAAGAGGAGACTTGAAGAAGGAGACACAATCGCTGGGACAAGGGCTTTATCAGCCTAACGTTTCGGATTCGTGCTCGAACCCATCATCAGAGATAAAAGCAGATACGGGTGATTCATACACAAGGGGCTTCTGTATTTATAGGATGCAGTAGCCATGCTACCGCATACCTATGAATATTCACGGCTCCCCCCTTCATCAGGGATGGCTGCACGTGGTGTGATGGCCGACATTCGCGTTGTTAATTGCTGCAATTTCACTACGTGCGTTGGATGCTAGGGTGATGATTGCTCGACCATCTGACGCGCTGATCCTGGTGGTGAGAAAAGTGTTCACATGTGCGTTCCCCGCGTGGCCAGTTACTCCGCCTAGGCGAAGTCTCAGCACCGAGTATGGAGGGAGAAGGTCATTGCACTTGTTAATGGAATGGGGACCAGTAAACTAGCTCCCGGCTCACGCAATTGTTACCTCTTGCGAGCATTTCGGCCTCGTCATATTTGAATTTGTGGCCGGATCTCGTCGAATGAGCCGCAACTTGAGAGCTAGCGTCATGTCTCCGCACCGCTGCAGCGTGCTCGGCCATTCGCGTTTGGAGCTGTGTTACGGTTTCTCTGACGTAGTTGCTTTGTCCGCAACTGCAACAGATCCGATAAACGACTCCAGACTTTTCTGGCTGGGTCTTTCGGTTTTACTACCTTACACCTGATGGTTGCCTCCGGTCTATGTGCCACTCCAACCCCAAGTGGTGCGAGAAGGCGACCGACCGCTTCCAAAACGTTCTTGACATATGAAAGCGCTCACAAAAATTTGGTGTCCGTGCGGTTAGGCCTTTCGTCCCTTTTGCGTATGCTCCGGTTGACGAAGCTGCGCGGGTAGCCATTGACTTTGAAGACACGTCGGAGGTATTGCTGTTCAGCAACCTTGTCTTCCGGCTCACTACAATGCGTTTCGACACGCCGGTAGAGTGTCCTTACACAACTGCGTTTGTGGCTGATTGGGTGGTTGCGGTCGAAGTTCAGTACCTGCATCGTATTCGTCGCTTTCCCGAACACGTTGGTTTTTATTCCACCACAATCTTTGCGGCATACGAGGACATCCAGGAAGGCCAGTTGGTTGTTCTCTTCCTACTCCATCGTGAATTGTGTGTCCGGGAAGACCGCATGCAGACGTTCCTTGAATGTCAGCAATTGATCCCGGTCGATAAGGACGAATTCTATCGTCCACATACCGGGTCCAGAACTTCGGTCTGCGGTGTTGGAAGACCAGCGACTCTAATCGTTGCAGGACCGCCTTGGCGATGAATCCCGAAATCGGCGAACCCACTGGTGTGCCCTTCACCTGTTCTTAAATTGTCCGGTCGAAAGTGAAGTACGTCCTGAGACAGAACTTCAGGAGCTGAAGGGCTTGAGCGTGTCTAAGACGATTCTCCGTTTCATGGTATTTGCTTTGTAAAAGCAGCTCGATTGTCTCGATCGCCAGGTCCTGGGAAACAGAAGTAAAAAGGGATGTAACATCAAAAGATACCATGACCTCATTTCGATGGAGGCTTACCCCTTTGAGTTTCTCCAGGAATTGTGCTGACGAAGAAACCGTCTTGTCTGACTCAGCGGTCAGGAACTTGAGACGCCGGAACAGCCATTTAGGCAGTCCGTACGTTGGAGTATCTTTGAGCGACACGAGGGGTCGGAGAGGAGCGCCGACTTCGTGCAACTTAGGGAGGCCACAGAATTGGGCCAAAACCGTATCTTTGGGTCTCGCCATGCGCCTGTCGGTCGGTGTTATTGCACCTGAGTTCTCCAAGGCCAACAGCGTAGCATTAATTTCGCGTGTCAGCGCTTTTAAAGGGTTCGTGGCACATGGGCCATAGAACTGTCGGTCCTCCAGTATACCTTTGGCTTTTTGAAGGTGGTTTGTCCTGTCCAGTACAACCGTGGCGCGCCGTTTGTCCGCTGGCACGATGACCAAGTGTTTGTCGGCCTTGAGTTATCTAAGCGCATCACGTTCGACCTTGGAAAGCACTTCCCGCGGCCTGTGGGCCATCAGGAGAGACGAGACTTGGTGTCGGATGAGGCTCTTAGTCTCCTTCGTTGCCTCCATCTGACTAAGGATTGATTCCACTGCTGCAATCAGGTTAACAGGTTTGGCGTCAGTCGTGTTGAATGAAGCCTCGCGCCGTAAAACCTGCATCTGATCCTTCGTCAGCTCCTTTGACGACAGGTTGTGCATCAGTTCGTCGTTTCTGGGCGACGTTGGATTGGGCAGTTCTCGGAATTTCTTCTCCAATGCTGGGTCGCTTATCATTTTCTGTTCGCGGGCTTGTTCAGCTATCCTCTGCAGGAGCAGATTTTTACCGATCTCGCCCATGAACTCACAGCGTCCTGTCTTTTCTTGCTCAATACTTTGACGGTACTTGCGAAGTCTCGCGTGGCAGTCTTAGAGGAGACTTTTTGCCGTCGCAACAGCATAAATGCATACAGGCTATAAAATAAATTTAACTTATTTACTTGTGGCCTTTTTAATTTCCTTAGAAATTAATCGTTAACTTGGAGCAACTCATTTGAGACCTATGTGGTCAGAATGAATTTTGATATGTATATTTGGACCAAAGTCCATCAACGGCAGTGGAATAACTGCGTAATATTCATAAACTTCTTACAGACAGCCAGTAGTATATACTGGGGTTGTATGACACACCGTACTTGACAGGACAGGTACCAGCTAAAAGCCCAGACATGTGCTTCGCCTCTTAAATATTAGCGTTTGGAGAAATGAAATACCTTCTAAACCAGGTTTCGCTGTAAACACATATCAAGATTATAAGCCCCTTTGAAAACATTCATTTCCCTCCGGACTGTAATGGACAAGGCAAAACCAGTTAAGTTTGGCTCTAAAGTCGATGTAAATCCCAAGCCTCTTTAAATTTTCCTGCTTTTCCTGGGATTTAGGAGACTGAAAATCCCCTGACGTCTATGTCAACGTAGGTAATTCCTCTAATTAGTGCTGCTTCTTCAGAAGGCTGCGGTGGCTACCTCTTAACGCAGCCTTCCTGGCGTCCTCACCCGTGAGACCCGAGCTGTTCCTAAGGCCCCCTGGTGCGTGTAAAACGAGTAAAGTGTCGCGTGTGGCACGCGCAGACGACCATCTTCAACGGGTGGATCTGCCGCTGGGGAGCCCCAGACAAACTCCATTCAGATTAAGGTTCGTCGTTCGAGAGCACCGTCGTACACGAGTTGTGAAAGGCTCTGAAAATTAAAAAAACTCGCACTACCGCATATCACCCACAAGACAACGGCCAGGTGGGAAGGACGAATCGGACGTCAGTCAACCTGTTGCGGACTTTTGTCGACCGGAACTCAGCACCCACATGGGAGTAAGCCCTGCCAACGTGCATTTTGGCTTACCGATTCACGGTAAATTCCACTACACACACGCCGTTCTTCCTAACGTGCGGGAGGGAGATGCACCTCCCTGAGGATCTCCACCTCCCTCCTACACATCCGGTGGAGAACGTCGACACGTACGCCTCAAGGATGCGGAAAACCCTGCGCATAGCATCGGAGAAAGCACGATTGCATCTTCAGGAAGGTCAACGCCGTCAAAAGGCATTCTATGATCGCCTAGCACACGGGACGCCATATCTAGAGGGAGACATCGTGTGGATGCGGAAATTCGCAGCGTCGCCGGGTGTACCTCAGACATTTACCAGTCACTACGCCACCGCCCACCTCTGGTCGTCTTGACATTGTCTTGCCATCGGGGACGGCACACTGTGCGGGAAGAGCGAGTGAAACAATTCAAGTCTGTTTCACTTTAAACTGCTGTGCGCACAAGTTATCTCGGGCGGTCACACCTCGCGATACAGTGGTGGAAATCGCCGTTTTCGGCGGTCGAACTGTCATGCATCTTCGTACCCAAGCATACTTTGGAAGTTGTGAAAAAAATAGACCTGATTTTTGCAAGTACCTGTGAATTATATGTCACTATGGTAGAGGGGCGCTCACAGATCTTTTTTATGGAACTCACTCGTCCCGTCGTGCCTTACGTGCTCTCTCTCTCTCGAGCCCAATCGACAGCCGCACAGTGGCGCGTGATATAGGCAAAATGGCATTACCGACAAAGACAAGGGAGACTGGAATGGCCATTTCTGGCTTATTAGTCGTCGTCAACGTGTCATATGCAACCCCGAAGTGCTGAACACCTGTTAGTTAGAAGTCCGACGCCTCTAACCACTGAGCCACGGGCTCGTTATCCTGTCACTATGATATGATTACTTATACTCTGCTTAACATCGCAAGAAAAGGATTCATTTCGGACTCCACTGTTTCCATCATTCCAGCGAGGACTTAAAACGTCCCGTGAAGTTAACATTTATGGTATATAACGTCCGACAAGTTCGGAATCCCATCAGACATTTAATGGTTCATGAGACTGCGTTCATCATCCCATGCGCCTGGCAAGGAATCTTGTGCATAACATTGCGGATAGAGGCAGGCAGAATAACAAGCATACTCTATCACTATGACCTTAGGCAAAGTTACTGTTAGGGGTTAGATGCCATTAGGTTGACTTTTGTGGTCTGCGCCAATGGGGTGGATTCCAGTTGAAGCAACCAGCTCATGGAACGAGTCCGCATTAGTAGCCTTAAGCGCGTCAGAGTTTAGTCACAGAAATATTCACCTCCACCGCGAGCGAAATTTGTCGGTCAGGGTGGATAACTATGTTGGGCGGCAATGTCCTCATAGGTTGCTCAGAACCTCAGGATGTGATGCAGCCGGGATGATCGACCGGAAGTGATAAGAACGCCGTACAGCGTTCGTTCAAGCTCTCTGGCCTCTTCATCTCTCTGCAAGAGCTGTTTATGCCAACGGACGTTAATGACGCTCACTAAATCAGGCCTAGAAGGCCTCCAGAACAAAGACACTGTCCGTACTGAGGAAGTCGCATCTCCTATGCCTGTTTCCGTCGTAGAAACACTTGCAGGACAAAAGGAACCGGTCCTTACTCAAAAAGTACATAATTTCACGATGTATAGGGAGATTAGCGTTGTCACAGCAGACAAACAGTAATCGTCCGGACAAGGGCCTCGTCATCCTGCCCGCCGACAAAGACCACTCTTCTGTGATCCGGAACAACTTCGGTTAGTAGAACAAAATGAAGGGCAAGCCAAATTAGGACCTGTCTTACAGAACCTGTCAGGTAGGGAGGTTAAGAAAATCTTCCACTGAGGGAAAAAACATTTCGATTAAGCTCATGTGATGCGTGGTAATGCTCTATAAATAGTTAATTGATAAGAAGTAGAAGCAATGGCTGGAACAAGAGCCTTATTCGCTTGACGTTTCGGGTTCTCGCTCGAACCCATCATCAGAGACAGTGCCAAAAACCCGTGAAACCTGTTTTTTGTCACTGTCTCTGATGGTGGGTTCGAGCGAGAATCCGAAACGTCAGGCTAATAAAGCTCTTGTTCCGGACTATCGCCTCTACTTCTTATCAACTAGTTCCTGGAATTCACATCTTCGCATATATTGGCAAATAGTTAATTCTCGTAACTGCCCATAGCTACCGCCGAAACTGAACTTTTGTTACTCATGGTAAAAAAGGAAAATTTTATGATTGGGCCCGGAATACTCTCCCCCCTTCCCCGTATTTCAAGTGACCTTTCCCTAGACTCCAGTGGAATTGAGAGTTGAGGTTAGTGTTATTGTTGAGGTTATAGTTATGCTTAGGAGGGTTAAGACTGGGGCTATGGTTAGGGTTAGGTTTCTGGCTAGGACACAGGAATAGGAATCATGCTTGAAAGCGATACAAAGTAGTGCAGGTAGTCGTCAGTACATTTGGGATTCGGTTCGTACCAACGGCGGAGAGGGAGGGATAGAGTCAAGCACTGATTTTGCGCACTTCCCCAGCTAATTCAGTGGTAGAGTTTCACATACGGAAAAATATTTGTTCCGACTTCCGGAGTCTTGTCTTATAAGTGTCCATGCAATTACACTGTTCTCTAAGCTGCAGTAGAAGGACTAAGGGACCTGCCAAGGCGCGCAGTGTTTACGTAATCCAGTTTCCAGGCAACCTAAGGTGACGCGCAGTAATTTTTCACTCCCCATTACAATCCTGGAGAGTCGACACTTGGGTAATTATCTTCTAGCTCCAGTCCCTTCGGCAAGTCGGCGAATCCTCTCCACAAATCTTAGTCATCCGACATTACCAAGTTTCATAGTGAGTGTAACATAAACACAACAAACAAAAATGTACGTCCCTTTTCAGAAGCTGATTGGGGATTCTCGAATATGATCTTGCTGACTTCGTTTTACCATCAGGAAATTAGGAAATCTCTCGAAGAAATACACTGAAGGGTAGTGCGCCGATCACCTGGGAAAGAAAACGCACCCGGGTTACTGACAGTCTTGACTACTTAGGTCAGATTAGATAACAAAATGTCGAGGACACACAGAGGGTCAGTTTTCAAAAAATTAGGATAAACTATGTGAAAGTGAAGACTTGACAGCTTTTAGATCATGATTCTGGTTTAAATAAAGCACTGGAGTCAGGATTGGCTCTCGGTTGCAAAAGCCACTGGTGGTCTATGTGTTCAACGACACGACATAGCAGTCGAGCCAACTACAGAAAACAGTTATTCCTACGCAATTCCATACAGTACGAATAACAACAGTTTTCTTCTTCATCGTCTGAAATTTGATGAGCGTACTTGAACTTAGTAGGTTACGTGACTCATGAAACATTTATTGGAATTCTTCCTTAATATGATCTCAGCTAGAAAAAAATTACTTTACTGGGGTTGTAATATTGATTGGCACTAGCATAATCCTAAGCTAATCCATTTGCGCTGGGCCGATGACCTTCGACTGCGCATAGTCTCCTCGACTGCAAAAACAATGGCGGCAATTGGATATACAGGCCCAGTGGGAAAATATGAAACAAGGACTCCTGTAATATGGAACGAATTTTACAATCATTTTTATAAGTAGGGCAGATGGACACAGTCATTAATAGCCGCGAACTGGCGGCGTGTAAAACGGGCAGAAACGAGTTGGTTCAAGGTTATTGGTTAAAGAAGACCGGATTAGGTAGGAAGGTATGCGACAGGCAAATTCTGTCCTAATCTCAGCTCTAACTCTAGCCTTAACCCTAATCTCTAATCCGACACTAGTCCTAACCCCAAATATAGTCATCGCAAGTTTCAACCACAACAGTAACCTAGTATAACGTTTCTGTCTGTGTCATAAAAGTAGGTATGCTGTAGTAGTGAAGACGTTGTCCTAGGTGTCCAATCGTTATCGAAATAAAAGTGACTAGAAGGGAATACTTAAGTAGTATGACTTTCTTATAACGGAATTTTAAGATTAACT